TTGTAAATTTAACTACAATTTTTTCCAATATTTCCTACTTGTAAATTGAGAAGATTCTATGTATTTATAATCTTTGCACCTGTTATCTTTGTTTGGTTTATGAATGGTTTATTTATTTATTTAGGCATTGTGTTATGTTAAGCTATGTGTGAACCCTTCGAATTTATCGCTTGGCTTCTTTGAGGTCTGCAATCTATATTCTGTATTAAATTCTTGTTTAAATTAAAAACTCTAGCCAATCAAAAACCAATGGACTGCACCAAGACCTTGTCCTGTTTTTTTCTTTTTCAATAATCTGTATCACTTAGATCTATTTCTAGTTTTGGCCGTCACTGGGCACATTACGCGGCAAGTAAACATTTTATTTTAGTACAGTGAAAACGCTGTATTAACCAGTCAGCATCCAGAACCGAGACTATTCATTTTATTACTGTTCTTATAAAACTGACAGAGCATTTGATATCTATTTTTTACTGTCCATGTGTAAACAGTTTTAGAAAATAATGGTGATAACAATTCAAACAGTGTAATTAGTAAATTCATCTAATGATATTATGTAAAGGGAACTGATTTTTTTCTTTTCTTTGGAGTAACGTCCTCAGTGCTGGTGACGTGACCGGTGAAGTGTGCTGTTGTTGTACCTGTGAGTATGAGAACTGCAGGCCAGTGACTGAGAACATGACCTCTCCTGTGGTAATGAGGAAGTACTGAGGAATCTGCAGAGCCATGTGGACCGAGTTGGGCTTCATGTCCACAACTTCTCTTATAGACGCACACTGCACACACACAAAAACACACATGCACATATAAACCAGAAGACACAATATCAAGGCCATACAGAGACTTCTACTGAAGTACACACATCAGTGGAGAACACGGTGCTGGGGATGAGGAAGGTGTATGAAGCACCGAATCCAAACTTCCGAGAAAACTCACACCACTGCTCACCATGTCTGAGCACGAAATCATGCCTTAGAAGAGAAACCAACAGAACAGCAGTCAGACACCATGACTCCAAGAGACAGGGATTTAAAGTCAACATGAAATTGTATTCACAACCCATTTTAAGAAAAGAAAAAAAGGTAGCTTTTATCCTTCGGGAAATTACTGGATTATGAAAAGTGGACCAAAAAGATGCATTTAGGTTGTGCATTTTTAGTCCTACATGTGTCAACAAAGCAACTGCTATTGAGATGAATGGGAATGCAAACAATTTTTCCTTTTCAGTAATCACTTGGATCTAATTCTGGTTTTGGACATCACTGGACACATTATGCAGCAAAGACCATGTATTTTAGCATGCGAGACACTATTAACCGATCAGCAATTGGGGCCAAGACTATCCATTAAGAACCGACAGAACATTTTATATCTATGCTTGTACTAACAGTTTAGAAAATAATAAGTGCTGATTGTTCAAACAGTGTAATTAGTACATTCATCTAATTACAATGTATACAAGTAGCTGTTTTTTTTTTCAAAAGAAAAAGATCTGGAAAGGTCAACATTTAGGTTGTGTATTTTCAGGGTTGCATGCTCCAGCCGAGCAACTGCTATTGAGATGAATGGGAATGCTGAGAGTTAGTAAAACGTCATTAGAGAGTAAGTAGAGTCAATGTTTTCAAGTTGACTTTAAAAAGCACTAATGTAACTTTGATAAAAAGCAATTAACAACTTTGTCAACATGTCGGCAATTATAACTATTAAACATCAATAAAAAAAATTAAAAAATCGGACAAACTGACTCACTTCCCGTGAGAAACCAGTGTGTAGTTTGAAGCGGCTGATGGTTCGATGGAATCCAAGTTAGTGATGTTCAGATCAGCTGTCCAGCCATTCACAAACCTGTGTGACATGAAATCATTCAGGGATAGGTTGGTTTTAAGGAGCAGTTAAACCAGTTTTAAGTCTTACCTAATGGCATGCTTTCCTTCATTTGGTTTGGACTTAATGTCTTCTTGCTGGAGGAAAAAAGAAAGGTCAGTATTTTTCACTTTTATATTTTCACAGTAATGTTTTTAACAGGCCATGGACCTGTGTACTTACGGGCAAATCCCATAGACTTACACTGAAGACCAGTGATTCTGGAGTGGGCTCTTTTGACTTGGGCCAATAAAAGCCCTAATATACTTCAAGCAAAATCAAAGATTGAACACATGGGATGTCATTTAGAACAAAATCTGGTCAAAACAAAAGTGTTTTGTAGTTTGTTTTGGTGGTTTGAAATAGACTGCCAGTACAA